TATATATATATATATATATATATATATATATATATATATATATAACCGGCTTGTAAGCAAGCTTGGTGCCAACGCCACTACAGGAATAACGGAAAATGGGGGATTGGAATATAAGTGTCAAACGAGGTCAGGTGGTTAATCTGAAGGCAATGGTTGGAAGCTACAAACAATCCTACCCATGCAATTATTCACTCTTCCAATGATCCTAGCGTTCTCATTATCAAAGCAGTGGTTTTCCATTTCTGTTTAATCTGATCTACGGTAATTGATCAGGCAAAATACACCAGTTAGAGGCACAATGAACCGGATCCGAATCGGGCTATTCACTCTCTTTGGATTCATCGTTCCAACTCTCAGAGCTCAGATGATCTGTCGTTCTTCTTCCGTTGTGACCGTGCATTTTCAAATGTGAGTGTAAAAATTTAACCAGGTGTGTTATACAAAATTCCAAAATGGTACGTTAAATTTTATAATAGATGTACGGCGGGATGATTGTTCATTATTTCAAAGTGATACTGAGCAACTTGAACTGAATAACTTACCTAAAGTGTAGTTGATATCGTGGAAAAATTCTTTGTAATCATGAGCCGAATAATTTTTGTTTGGGGTGATGATCAACTGCTCGGTCGGAGGCCATAGTCGCGGATCCGGGAGTAAAAACGCCAAAGAAGGCATTGATCGCTGTACAGATCGGAAGCTCAGAGAGGACGGGGCAATCAGTCCGAAATTGTCACCTGCCAGATAGAATGCCGGCGGAAATTCGGAAATATAATCGCAGGTAGCAAAGTGAAGTCTGATTGGGCAAAAAGCGTTTTCAGTGCTTACTCTACAGGTTCGCAACAGTCCTCTTTATATGCGATAAAAAAATAAATCAGTGAAAGAGAAAAAGTTGGATGACAGAAAAGCTATTCGCCTTTTTCTCTGTATAAATAACACTTCATGACCTATGAAAGAGAGCTGCCTATATATCACTATATATCATTGTATATATTTCACGTGTCTAACTCCAGACTGTGTGCCATCAAATTACGATACGATATACTTTATAACAAAGAAAGATGTCCATGATTTGCCTGTGGGGGCGATACTGTGAGGTTGCTCAGGTCAGGTGAAATTTTTTGGGGAATTCACCACTGGCACCTTTGACTAGCCAAAGTCTGACCTGCAAGACAGTGGGATAGGTGTGAAAACTGAGGCCGGCGTCCAGTTCAGTGGATCATATGTTCCTTAGAAGGAATCAAACAACCCAGGTGTCCAGTGCGCCTCAATGCCCAAATGACGCGGTAATCACTGCCACAGCCATAAAGGTTGGGATGGGTGTGGTTCGTACGACTTTTCTTGGTCGGTTTGGAATCAAGGCTTTTAGCCAACTCTCTTAAGTGAACTGTCAGTAATTCACCGGCCTGATCTGTGAGTTGCAGCTACTGACCAGAACAGCTGTAGCGGGGTTGAGGCTCAGCCAGAAGAGTTCCACATGGGATTCGTGGTTTTTTGTACTTAAACTGTAGTTGGTCCGCGCACGTGACTTGATGAACAAACCTTTTGGCGCTGACTTCATTTCGAAGNTTGATGGGAAACCACTCTATCATTGACAATGTAACTTTGTTGTTCAGTACGATGCGAATGCAGGTGAAAGACAAAGTGCCGAAACTGACTTCATCCATGATAATTTACTTTTTTAAGTGCGTCTGTGGAGTATGTTACATAGGTCGTACGATAAGGCGTTTGCCTCAGCGCGTTAAGAAGCACCAACCGTGGTGGTTAACTCAGGCGAAAACTAGCTGTATCTCAAGCGCGATCTTCGGGCATCTCGTCAACACCGGGCACAAGATGGAACCGGGGAAAGTTTTCGATGTTGTTTATCGTATCCCACTCAATCGATCGAAGGCGGCCCGAG